TATTACATTATATTACATGATACTTGTTAGACGCTTTTATCCAAAGCGACTTACATACTCAATACTGTGGATAATCCCCACAGGAGCAATTTGGGGTGAAGTGTCTCAGGGACACAACGACATGCTGACTGCAGTGGGGTTTGAACCTGTGACCCCCTGATCAGAACACCAACGCACTAGTCCACTGCACCACACGCCTCCTTTATCCTGTTACATGTTATCCATTGCTCAATAAGCATGGCAATAAATCAAGTGAAAGGTAGGGTTATTATCTCTTTTTCTACTTCTACAGAATCAGACTTATGTTTGCAACCAGTGGAGCGGACCCATGCAAATAATTCAGCTTTAATACACCCCGCATTGCTTCTTTGTTCAGACTCTGAGGCTACGTCAAAAGTATTTTGCCAATTCAACACAAATGCCAAATGGTTAAAAGCATCACATTTTGGAGAAATATAGATATGAACTGAAACTGGACTATTTTACTCAGGAATACAACTGCAAAGTTTCTAGAATCCAGATGCAGTCCACTGAGGTTTGTAACAAAAGTAGCTCCTGCTATGCTAGCTGCTAAGCATCAAACAGAAGAGGGGCAAAGTTAGCGGTTAGCTGATGAACACAGTGGAGCATTTAGTTGATACAAATATGTCCTCTCTGAGTTTAGATCTTAAAACAGAGCTAAATAAGAATATTGGATTAACAAACAGCCGATAACAAGAAACAGAAATCCAACTTAAAGGTCCCATGTCATGCTTTTCCGGTTGTTACCCGTCCCCTTGTGTGTTATGAAGGTTTTTCTGCATGTAATCGGTCTGCAGAGTCACAAACCCTCAAAGTACGCCCTGTAGCAAGTAAAACTCTAACACAGAAAATACCTGTCTATGCTGCCCCAGAACGCCTCGTTGGAGATTTCTCTTTTCCCATTGTTTACTTCTTATAGTGCAGTAAGTACAGGGACGTATAGGGTATATACTCCGCGGGGGGGGCAGGAGCTCCAACAAGCCGTTTAGGACAGATCAGTAGGAATGGCCATGACATGGGACCTTTAATATCCTCTGGATGGGTAATTAGGCTACGGCTGGCATCATAACAGCTACGTTAGCTGCTAGCTTCCAATTTGAACATTTGGTTTACAGTTAGAAATAAATAAAATTTGGTTAAAAAACAAAGGCAACTGTCGAGTGATATGTGAAGTCTTTTCTTATCCAAACCTAAAGATAGAGACAAATTGCGGAAATTCTAAACATATAAATGTTAAGAACTCAGACACTTAGGAGGTAGGACCCAATTGCACGACCCGGGAGACAGACGTAAAGTATTGTTAAGATACTTTATTTTTTCAAGAATAGCAAAAATGAACAACAAAAAATGGTCTCTATCAACTTTCTAGCTGAGATGACAAAAATGAGAACAAAAAGAAAGCGCTCACGGAGTGAGGATCGAAACTTTACGAGAGCGCAAAAAAGGCATAGACCTGACCATGGCAAGAGACAAGAGCAAAGATCTGACCATGGCAAGAGACAAGAGCAAAGATCTGACCATGGCAATAGACAAAGACGAACTGACAAGGAACACTGGGAGACAGGGGAATTTAAACACATGACAAAAAGACACAGGTGGGAACAATCAGGGGTGGGGCTGACACTGATGAGCACAGGAGACACAGAAGAGATGACAGGTGAAAACAATCAGGGGCGGGGCTGGTGCTGATGAGTCTGGAATGACAGGTAAATGGTGAGTGACAAAACAAAACAGGAAGTGGAAGACAAAACAACCAAAAAACAAAATAAAATCTCAACATTTCTGTCGGTGCACAACAATAGATTAAATCTTCATGGCTTGATTAATTTAATGCAACTATTCCTTTCGTTTTATTATTATAACAAGTATTGGTAGAAGTAAGTGGTCTATTGCACTTTAGCATTAGCATGGATCATAAAAGGCAACCATTTACGATACTAGAAGATAATACTTTATTGGTCAGATCAAGTCTGAAAGGTGGCTTGCATCACAGCAGCTCCATGTCTAACATCAACAGACAAATATCAAGACACAACAAACATTTAACATAACATAACAATCACTGAGAGAAAACCTTTTCACATACAAAACAGAACACTTTAGTTGATTTCAACGTCTTGGGACTGATTTAGAGCCTTTTAGGTACAGAGTTGATATATCTACAGTTCAAGGTTATGGTCATTTTCAAACCAGAGTGGCTACATCTTTTATATAATCTTACATTTTACACGTTACAAGATGAAATGGAAAAACATTTCTCATCACCTGTCAGAGAGCCTCGAACACTTAAGTGGAGGTTGTTTTGAGTCCAGACTGAAAGGCTCAGGCTGAAAAGGTCAAGTTGTTCTAAAGCTGTTATCTCAGAGTCAGTAATGAGGAGGGGGAACGGCTAAAACATGTGATGCTCGTCACACAGGAGGTCAGGTTCGTGATTTCTCTTCTCTGCAGGGACGGCATAAGTACACACATTCTTTACTCAAGTAGAAGTACAGACACTCGTGTTTACAAATACTCTGGTGAAAGTAGTACTGGCTAAACTTCTTTACTCAAGTAAAAGTAAAGAAGTTTGGGCTTTGAAATGTTATTTAAAGGGGACCTATCATGCAAAATGCACTTGTTGATGTCTTTTATACATAAACATGTGTCCCTGGTGTGTCGGGGAACTCACGCAGCGTCAGAAAATAAAACCCTCTCTCTTTTCCTCCGTACCCACATCTCTAAAAACGGGGCTACAACGGAGCTGATCCAGATTTGCGTCCGATATGACGTAATATCTGAAATGTGGACCCACTGCCCTATCAGAAACGTTGCTATCAGAAACAATGCCCGACTGTTTTGGACCTAATATGGTCGGTGCATGTTTACATGAGCATCGCTAACACTCAGAGCTAACCTGTTCTGCAGAGCATGTGTGTGAAGAAGCAGGAAGTAAAAAGGAACTCACCTTGTGGTATAACCGGCAAGAGAGAAAGCCTTTGAGCTCCATACTGTTTCAGAGAGAATCCTTGATAATCCATGATATGGCGTTTCATCACGGCAGCATTTAGTTTAGACAGTAGCTGCCGGGTCCCGCATGAGCTCAGCCCCCTCCTTTTTTTATTTAAGGCTTTATACCCAAATCAGCACTTTTGAAACAGGAAGTGAAATAGAGGGATATGAGGCATGGCTAGAATGGGTGATCTGTTTGGTATTTTTACTGCCTAAAAATAGCATGATAGGTGACCTTTAAGTAAAAAGTACCCATAACTAGCAGCTGTTTTAAATAGTACCTGACCTCCCTTTATATTAATAGAACAACATGCGTGAATGTAACCTCACTGAGGGAGGTATTTTAAGAGTTTATTAGATATCACCAGAGATGGCAAAAGTACACACATCCTTTACTCAAGTAGAAGTACAGATACTCGTATTTAAAATACTCTGGTAAAAGTAGAAGTACTGACTAAACTTCTTTACTCAAGTAAAAGTAAAGACGCTTTGAAATGTACTTCAGTAAAAAGTACCCATAACTAGCAGCTGCTTTAAAGAGTACCTGACCTCCCTTTATATTAATAGAACAATAATGTCATTGTTAGCGAATGAATGTTTCCATGCTGAACAACGGCAACATGACAACGTTTTCATTGGTCCCTCTTCTTTAGAGAAGACCAGGAAATGATGGATACACGGATCGTGTTCAAATCAATAGGCACGCAATGACTCTAAATAATAATGATCACGCCACCAAACACACATTCAAACTAAAGGAACCAGCAGTTTGGAAAATGTGAGAAGTAGAAAGTACAGGTATTTGGGTTCAAAATGTAAGAAGTAGAAAGTACAGGTATTTGTGTTCAATAGGGATGTAACGATACCAAAAACTCACGGTACGATAATATCGCGATAACAAGTCCACGGTACGGTATATATCGCGATATTGAATAATAAAGGGAAGAAGAAAAAAAATCATACATTTTTTTTTTCAATAAAACATTTTTTTACTCGGAAAATGTTTCTTTATTACATAATAAATCTGATTTTTTACAGCATTT